AGCAGGAAACTCTGGAGGCAAAAGAAGAGCTGCAACCTGATGCACTCAAAGTAAGCATGCACCAGGGTCTCCCCCTTTGTTGGCAAAAGGGGCCTGTGTTAGGGTGTCCTTAAAACGCACCCATGGCAATGGCTCCATGGAGGAGCTGCCAGCTGAGGGCCTTGGATGCTCATGGGATCAGGGTAGAATACCTGTCCGCTGGGGACCCTTGCACTGTGACACTGGGTATGATGGACCTATGGTCTGACCCAGTAAATGGCAGTTCTTATTTTCTTATGTTCTATGTTCAGTGTGTGTGTGGACCCTTCTGTTCATGGACAGCTGAGAATTGGTTCCCAATCAGTGACATTCTTGGAACGGTATGAGAGTTATATTTCTCTGCACCCTGAGGGTGGTGTCACATGTTCAACTTAATACTTACTAAGCACAGTTAAAACTCAAGCAGCTGCATGTTCAAGCAGTTTAGCACAGATTGCATGCCCTCTTAGTGTTAAAAAGCTGTCCCCTTTCAGGTGAAGATGATCTCCTTAACATGTACTAACTTTAATAAGTCACTGCATCCCAATGATCTGCAGCTGTTACAAGTAAATGTGTGACACCCCCTAACACTTACTAACTTTAATAAATCACAATATTCCAATGATCTGCCACTGTTGCAAATTAATGTGACAGCCCTAAGGTGCCATCCTGCCCGACCTCTGCATGAATTCAAATGAACATGGCTGCCTGTCTTTCTCTTTCAAATCTCTAAGCTGCTTCAAGCAGCACCATCTAAGACCACACCTGCTATAGAAATGTATCCCCTCATTCCAAATGACAATAATCAGAAGTAAAAAATAGGCAGTTTTCCAAGTCTGAGCCATTAACAGGGTTAAAGCCTACTATTATATAACCTTCTTGTAGTTTCTCTGAGCTAGAAAGATGCAGTGACAACATATTCTTGTGGGGGACACATGGAAATCATCCTGAGACTGAGCGTGAAGAGAATTTGAGCATGATCAAGTGCCCTTCAGCAAATTTGTGCTCTCAGCACCTTTTAAAATTTCTTTCATGTTTCTGCTGTTGACCTCCTCTCCCTGCACAGCCTGCTCTGGTAGATTTTTTCTTCACTGATAAAATCCTGGCGTACTGAAGTCAATAGGATCTGTGTATTGACTTAAACAGCACCAGGATTTTATGCTACCTTTCCAATACAGGTCCTGTCCTTAAATGTCTACTTGTCAGCCTCAAGTAAATCAGGAAAGAAGAAATGCAAAGTAAATAAAAGATAAAAATTATCTGCATTATTTGTAAGGCTCAATAGTCTAGCTGCTAATAGATCTGCCTAACTTTGGGCGCTGACAGAAGTGACGTTTTGTTGTGCGATTGGCCACTGAAAGCACTCTACAGGTGTGCACTGACCGAAGTACACAGATGCAGAGCACTTTAAAAGTGGCTGATTGTGCAACAAATAGGCACTCAAAGCAGAGCACCTTCATTAACTTCTGTTAGCGTGTGCTGGGAGCAGGACTGGGCACCCCAGCCCCATCCCTGGTGCTGTCTTCAGGATGGGAGAGGTGGGGCGGGAGGGGAGAGAGTTCCATTTGGGGTTTGCCCAGCCTGTGCTGGAGGTTGGGGTGGGTGGATTGAAGCCCCCCAGTATGGATTGGAGGGGTTTAAATCCACCCCCTCTCTCCAGCGCAGGCTGGGTAAACCCCAAAACAGACCTCCTTCCCCTGCCTTCTCCCCACCTCCCAACCTGAGACAGCACGGGAGCTGAGAGAATGGAGGTGGGGCTAGCAAAGCAGAGCACCTTCATTAACTTCTGTTAGCGTGTGCTGGGAGCAGGACTGGGCACCCCAGCCCCATCCCTGGTGCTGTCTTCAGGATGGGAGAGGTGGGGCGGGAGGGGAGACCCACCTCCCAACCTGAGACAGCACGGGAGCTGAGAGAATGGAGGTGGGGCTAGGGGAAGAGGCTGCAGACATGTAGCCTCTCTTGCTGAATTGGCTCTAAAGTAGAGCTCTATCCTCCACCCTCCTGATCCAACAGCAGACATCTGGTGGGTTGGGAGGGTCCGTTTAACTCATGGCACTTGCTGTAAAGTGTCATGTATTAGATCAGGAAGCTGCAGGTCTGTCAGCACCCGATGTTTACTGTATTTTCAGTTTTTATTTGTTCCTTTGAAAGTTTGGCAATCCCTGATCAGAACTGGGTAATTAAAGTTCCATTGTTTAAAACCTTTTGTTTGATCTATACTAGATTACTCTTTTACAAAACTATTGTCTCTTTTTGATGTAGCTTATTGCTATACACATTCACTATATTAAAACGCTGCAATAAAAAAATGTACAGATTCTTGAAAAGTGAAATCTTGTACTTTTTAGAATGGTAAGAAGCATGTCTAGTATTTTCTGATGACTTTACAGGCTGTTGCTGTTGTCCTTACAAGTCATTTCCTTTTTAAACATCTGCCATCTAGATTTTGCAGGAAAGGTGAGAATCAGTAGCCCATTAGACATGGACACAAAATAAAAAGCTATGTATTAGAAACCTGATAATATACAGTTTATGTTTCGTTCTATATTAAGATACTGTGTGGCCTAAAATTTAGCATTCAGACAACAACTTACTTTAGAATACCTGCAAAGCAGATTGATTTAGATTAGCATGTCATATTGAAAATAGGTGCAAATCTGCATGCAGTGTAACATACAATTCATTCAGTTTCTTTCAAAATATAGGATTAATACAGAATAGGTGTCACATTTTCAGTTTTTTCTAGAATGATATTACCTGCTGTAATTGACTAACAGCTGAAGAAAAGACAGACAAATTCTAAGACAAATATAAATCTTTGAAGGTACCCATAAGAATTTTGCATTCAGGACATGTCTTGATTGATAATTAGAAATGGTATTAACTTCTCTGACCATATGACTAATTGCTAATGAAAACGAAAACAAAATCCTGTTAGAAGCCTTTGAAGAGTTCCACAAACGCTTTGAGGAAATGTCTTAGACAGTATAATCTCAACTGATTATACCAATATGCCTGTATAAAGTCTTGACACTAAGATTTTTTACTTTCTAGTTACAGCATTTATATTCTGCTACTTTTTATCATACTAATGAAACTTGCATTTCAAATAGGGAGGAAAGAGTTAAGCTTTAATTAATCATGATATAAAAGCTCAGCATGTTGTACAAGAACCACTTGAATTCAAGTGTTAAAAAGGGAAGGGACATTGATTATTTTGGTGCTGGAGCCATTATCTTCTCAGTCCACAAACTAAGGAGGGTGTTTAACTCCTAGCAGGAAGTGAAAAAACTGCCTTTGAATGTAATTAAAAAGTGTCTGGCACATAACAGAAAAACCCATTATACTAAACAGTAATTTTAAAACCCATTTATTAGGTACTAGGAGGGAAAGGTAGCCAGCCATTACTTGAGGAAGGAAGGAAGGGTGGATGAGCTAAACAGACCTAACTAAGGAAATCTGTGTGCTTCATCACTTCTTTCCCAGAAAGATTGTCTTCATTAAAAAAAAGTATATGGCTAATTTATGTTAGCTAATACATGGTAATTATCATGAAGTAAAATCTTAGCAAGAGCAAGATAATTTTAGATCATGAGCTATCGAGTTAAAGCAGACTCTAGTCTATATCTTATAAACTACAAATTGTCTGTCTTCACTAGGGTTTTACCTCGTTAGCTTCTTTGTGTTAGCCAACGTGACATGCATTCATACCTTTTTCCTAATCATGAGAAGGCCAAAATGGACATGTCTTACATCTAGATCTCTTAATCTTCTTCATGATGCCTCAAATAGAATATGCTGTATATTTTAACAGATAACTTTCTAACCTCCTTTTGCAACAAATTGTTTTTGCTATATTAACACATTTTTAAACAAAAGCATTTTCTGTTCAATTATTTTAAGCATGATTTCTTTAGCATAATTTTGTCATTATTCTCTTTGATTGCATTATCTTTTTGTTGTTTTAGGTGAGATCTCTCAGGGTAATACTTGAAGGTTAAAGAATCCAGGATAGATTGCTTTGCTATATACATTTCATGAGTTAGAGTGGAACGTTCTTGAAATATATCTCTAGCACCTAATAGGTGCCTTTTATTATAAATATAAGGCAATTTAAGGAATTTGGATTATTGTGGTGTAATCTTAAACTTCTGGCTGAATAATTAAGAGCAAATGTGGGACTGATATATCTTGGAAGATCAAAAGAATATTCTTTGAATATATGACTCATTTCCCCTTAATCACACAGTGTTTTTTGATGCATGCACCAATTATATCCTTGCATTATTTTAAATATTAACATTTCACTACCTATGTTTTAACCAACTAGCGTTTTTAATAGCTAACATAAAATATGAGAAGAGAAAGGTAATTTCCACATAGTACTGGATACATAGTATAGGAGACAGAAGTACTAGTTTTTCTTTGCCAGCTTGTTTTTAAAATGAGTCTGTATTTAAATATAAAGAGGTCTAGTGCCTGTAACACCAATGGTTTATAAAGCAGAATACGATGAAATGTCTTACTTTATATTATTTCTTCAGTCTTCTTTTGTTCAAGAACTCAGTATTATCTTATCCCTGCAATAACCAGGTAGTGTTTATTACCTTCCCCTTTTCCTGGTCTAGTAGAGCTGGGACTGCCTTCTTTTCCAAACTGGAAATTAGGATCCTGTAACTGTGCACTTTCTGGCTGAACTTCTTCTATTCCACTTTCAGAAGACTGTCCACTTAATGTCCCTTGATGCCAGTTTTTATAGTTCTCATCAGCATGGTCTCTCCTGTACTCTCTGCTCTTTCTGCTTAGTGTTGATTCAGAATCCACATTAACATCCGTGTTTGTGCCATTACAGAATTTAGGTTGAGGAAAATGCTGTGTTATAAACCCAACAAATTTCATTCCTCTTTTAGCAGCTTCATTCACCTGTATTTGTAACAGAAAATTATTTTGAAACTCTGAATTTGTCAGTTGTAGATAAGATATTTTTATATTATACATATCTCATAAACTAAAATGTTGATTTTTGAGGACACATACCACAGACCCAATGTTCTTAACTATGGTAAAGTTCTTATATATATTTAAGGTACCTACCAGTTAGCTCGATCAGTTAGCTTATAAACTCTGTATGTTGAAATAATTGGAATTCTGCAAGGAGAGTGGCTTCTATGTTGAATCAAGTCAAACTGACTATACTAATGCCCCTTAAATGTATACAGAATTCTTTATGTTACAGGATAGTAAAATTATGCTTTATGTATAGATACATATGCTTTATGTATAGATACATTTACCATGCATTAAAATTCAGCCACCACTGAGATCAGATTTGGAGCCATTTTGCAGCAATCAGAATGATCTAAAGCAGCATTTCCCAAATTGGTTTATGACCCACAGAAGTAAGGTCAAGCTCCACCCCGCCTTCAGCTACCACTGCTGCTTCTCCCCGCTGCTGCCAGTCCATGGTGTAGGAAATCAGCAGCAACTCTTTCAGTCACAATTTCAATGATCCACAGAGATCTGAAATATATTCTTCCTTGTATGTCTTTCCTCAGCAGTTAACAACTATATTACTGTAACTCTTGAAATAACAATAACTTCCTGTTTCAGTTAGCCTTCAGTTTAACAGAGGAAGTGAAAATCAAAAGGAACTAAAACTTTTATTACACTGACTTGGAGTTTAGTGTTCTTTAATGACACAATTAAACCTTTGCACAAGTAATCAAAAGTAAATATCTCTGTAAAATCATCACTTTTGCAGATTGATGTGAGATAGGATAAATATTAGTAAATTCTTTCTTAGATACTGCAATTCATCTACCAATCTCAATTTTACTTGAGTATATTACTTCAGATTTTCATTTAATAGAATATTACATTATAATTCCAGAGGTAGTTCCTGTATGTGCATATCTATTTAGTAAATTTATAATTACTGTTGTCTAAACCATGTGCAACAACAAATAAGGGATCAAATTCCACTCTCAGCAATGTAAATGGCAAATTACTGAGTTCAGTGAGTTCAGGACAGAGTCCTAAATAAGAAAGAATTTCTGAAAGGGAAAAAAAAAAGCTCTACCCACTTATTTAGACAAAAGCATTGGAAATTTCTATTAGTCAAAAATCAAGATTAAACCTTAAACGTTAACTGTAAATACCTACACTACATTCAAAATCCAGTGAGCAGAGATCTTAAAAAAACAACCTTCAATACCTTTTCTAACAGTCCTTTCACTACCTCATTTGTCAGTGTTTCACACATTAAAGGACATTCCTCAATCACAAGCCTGGGGTGTCTTTGTCCTCTGGGTGCTGTATGCTTCTGGCTGGAACACAGAAAGAAAGCAGTCTTTGTCAGCAGTTTGCTGCTAACTATACAAATGCTTGTTGCACGTAGAATTCTTTTCTTTTTGAAAAAAAATATGAATGACATCTTGGCAATACCTTTTCATGCCTTTGATTAGAACTCATGACCCTCTCCAAGTTTACATAAAGTATCAGGTATTATACAGTCAGGAAAAAGTTCTCATGCGTCAGGTTTTCATTTATGAGTTGTTTGTATCCATTTCTTGAAACATATAACAAAGACATTTCTTTAACAGCAAATAAATCCCAAATGTGGATAGTTGATAGTGGAAATATATACATACAATATAAAAACATACAATATAAGAACATGAAAGATAGGGTGTTTCCCTACCTGCTTTAATGCCAAAAATAGAAAAGATGCTTTCTTAATGTCAGTAAGTTACTGGTTTGATTTATAAATAAGGAACAACCACAGCTATTATGTAAAAATGGCTGCATTTTTATATCAGATAGTAATATTTGGCTAAACTGTCATTTGTAGTTAATCAATGGTTGAAGCATCCATATGTCTCAAAATATCCAAGTTAATGTTAATAATAATGTGAATTTACCTGTGATTTTTTTCCCCACGTAAAAACAGGAAAGTTCACAACTGTACTTGAATTACTGAATTCACTGTATTACAAACCCAACAAAACTAGATTTGCTTCAGCATCTTTTCATGCAGTCTTTTAGTTTTGAAGGAAACATGTATGTACCTAGTTATTTACCTTAAGCTAACTGGAGATCTTCCAGATACCTTTGCCTAACATAAGGTAGAAACAGATGTCGCCTGTTGTGCAGCCACAACAATTTTTATGGAGACACAAATGCAGAACAGACAGACATCGCTACACTTTGTCATGCCATATCACTGGTGTGACAGAAGGTACTAATAAATCGCGCCACTTCATTGTGGCTAACGTCTATTTGTTCTGTGGTAGTAGAGTGCAGGCAGCCTGGAGTTTCCTGTAGCCTGGAGCTGCCCACATTCTACTGCCACCCCAGACTAGGTGCCTTAGGGACTTAAGTGGCCCAATCCTGTGCACTCTGGGTAGGATCAGGCCCCTCAAGCCCCGAGACTACTTGCCTGGCTTTCCCCACTTAGAGATGCACCCCACAAGTGGGGACAGACCATACAGGTCCCAGCGTCAGGGCCTGGGGAATCCTGGGCACTCTGTGCCTTCATGCCAGGAGTCTCATGACTCCATGTCTCCACACAGGGACTCATGCTGATGTATGCTTTATGTGGAGGTATGGGTCAATGCAAGTATTGGTATGGGAGGGTGGGGGTGGCACTGGAGTTGGGGAAACCCTGGTACCCCACTCCTCCTTGTTAGGACCTGCACTGGATTATGCTTCACGTAGAGGTATGGGTCAGCCCTGGTCCCTACGCTGAGGCAAGAGATACCATTCAGACTATCATCTGATCAACTAAGGGTTAAAAAGAAACCCTGGCGGAGAGCTGTATATAATTTATGCCCACGTCACAAACAAGAAACGAAACTTAAGACTGGTCAGGGTGAAAGGGGATAGCCCTGCCATAAATCCCTGCAATAAAACCCGGAGGGAGAACTGTAGGTAATTGGTCAGCTGAAATAAAAAGCGAGGGGAAGCTGTATATAATTGGTCAAGAAACAAGGCCAGACCCCTCTCACGTAACAGGCAGGAAAACCTAACCCACTACCTTGTAACCTGATAGCAACCTGAGAACACAAAGAACTGCTGCTTGCCAGAATATTAAAGATTCCACTTAGCAGTTCATCATTGGATATCTCTGAGAGACACCTCTGTCTATAAATAGTTTAGCAACTTCCGCCCAGGTGAAGAACCCCGGAAAAATCTCTGAGGAGAGACCTGAGTCTATCACCAGAGTAGATTGACGGTCTGATCAGCTGTCAATCTCTTCCCGTCATAGTTAATTTTGACGTAGTAAAGTCCTGCAGGCTCGATACTGTTCTCGGCGTGCTTCGTTCGTCATCGCTTGATATCGTAACCCGACCTTATACGCTCAACTGTAATCGATGCAACTGTAACGAAACAAAGGCTCAGCCTGCGTCGCACGTCACTATCTGGGCGACGTAAGTAAACAATCTCCTGTAACCAACACACGTCTGTGCCTGGTTAATTCCACCCCATCCATCACTACCCGCCTGTCAGGTGAAAGTTTTACTGCTCCCCAGTTTTACTGGTGGGGGTCAGCAAGCGGCTGCTCCGATTCTCCGACAAACTCCACTTGCAATAGGGAAAGTAACTTATTTTTTTAATCATTTCTCCACCTGGATCCTATTGTAGGTGTGTAGCAAGTAATTACTTGTCACAGAGGAAGGTGGTAAGTGGTCTAGCTAAGTAGCAGCTGCAAATCAGTCAGGCCTGACTGGGAATCTGATTTAAAAGCTCTCTAAACTGAGTAGTATTTTCTAAATGCATTAATAGAGATTCACATAGCTGCTCTGCATATTTCTGCCCTGTAAAACATGCTTATAGAAATCACCAGAGTCCTACTGGGTTGTTTTCCAACTGAAGATGGAAGGGGAAGCCTTCTTAGAGTATTAGAAGTCTTAGTAGCATTGGAAATACACTTTGCTAGCCCCTGGGTAGAAAATGACTAGCTTTTACTCCTAAATTTTTCAAAGAGTTTTGAAACACAAAGAATTTTGTTCTTAAAAGATCAAGCACACTGAGAAGTGGATCATGGTAAGCCTAACCTGGAGCTAATAACATTGCCTGGGTTTTGCCTTGACAATTTTTATGAGTACTCTGGAGATTAATCAAATGGGGGTAAAAAGTACATGACAGATGTTGGCCCTACTGAATCAGAAATGTGTCTGTCAAAGGGTGTGAGAGTCATTCCCTATTTTTCTGT